CTTTACCCCTCACTTTACTAAAATTTAATTATCAAATTAATTAATATTGCCCATTTCATGATTAATTTAGAAAAAACCAGTACTCACCGGTGCCTCTCTCAATCCAAGGTGAGACGACAATGGTCGGGACCCTCACCCCTAATCGATCGAATTGGAACAAAAACGGCTCCGGCCCCACGATTCCATCCGGGCTAGGGACCCCTCTCACCGGCGTCGGGACGTGATCGTAAAAACCCCCGTGCTCGTCGTATGTGATTACCAACAGAGTTTCGTTCCACTGCGGACTCGCCCTCAGCGTCTCGTACACCTCCTTCACGAACAACTGCCCCTGATACACATCGTGCGACGGATGATCGTCGTTCGCCGGCTCCGACTTGGTGTCCACGTACCGCTGCTCCACCACGGCGTAGCCCGGTAGCTTCCCATCCTTGGCATGATTTTTGAAGGTCGAGCTGTACGAATGGAATTTAGACACGTATTTGATCTTTCTTAGGTTTTTGTAGAATAACGTTGCCGGAATATTCTGGTAATATATTCCCCAGGAGATTCTCTCGTCGTCAAGGTTCTCGAAAATCGTTCTCTGTGGATAACCCTTGGCAAGCAGCGCCGCAATGTTACTCGTCGCTCCGGCCGATGTCGCGGAGTGCACGTAAAGACGATTAGGCTGCGTCGATGCCGGCACGGAGGCGAACCACCTGTACTTTCAAAGAACGGCGGTGAGGAAATTGTTTACGGTGAGGAACAGAGTAAGACGTGTACGCATATTTTTAAGAAAAAATAATGGAAAAATTATTGTGAAACCTAGGCCGTACTTATTTTAAAACAAAAGTTATTAATTAGGGTTGTGCTTTACGTCTCATTTTATAATATAATATAATTTTAATTGAAGAATAAAATTTCAAAATTTAAAATATTTAGATAATATACTTTAGATAATTAGTGTAAAATATAAAAAATTAATATATTATGATTATAAAAAGTATTATAATATGTAATTATAATAATTAAATATATAAAATATAATATAAATATTAAATAATTTATTATTATTATTATTATCATCACACTTTTTGGTGTTAAAAATTATAGAACTTACTAATTTTTTCTTTTCCTAATCAATAATTAAAATTTAAGAGGTGAATGATTAAGTGGTATATATCTTTACTAGATTATTGTACGACATGATAAATACCTATCAAAGACAGCAAATTCTGAAGCAAGAGCTTTGTAGACGGCAACAGTGTCAGGATGGAAGCCATTCATGACATTTTGAGACATATTAGTGGTGTTGTCCATGGAATAAGCTTGCTGTGCGAATCCATTCATGGGCGGCGGATTGGCGGAGGTGTCGTTGGAGCCGAAGATCTGTTCCCTTATAGCCTGAAAGGAGTGGCCGGGATCTGGGTCCACGTACTGAGCTTGGTTCTTGAAGAAGAATTTTGGAGAGGTGAGGTCGGTGGTGGATAGTTGGTTCCACTCGGAGCCATTGACGCCATTGATCTCCGGATTGATCTTTTTCATCCACCCCAACATGTGGTCAAACGACCGGTTTTCCATCACAAGCACAACAATGGTTTTGATGGGGCTGGCGGCATGGATAGGATGATTGCAGAGGAGTAGGAGGAAAAATACGGCGGTGGCTATGGTGGCGGTGGGAGTGGTAGCTTTTGAGGCTATTTTAGGAACCATATTATTAGTTGCATGAGAGAGAGAGAGAGAGAGAGAGCGAGTGTAGATGGGAAGGTTTTGACAATATCTTATGTATATAGGTGGAGGCTGTGGAGGCCGTGAAGGTCAGGGACCAAATGGAAGTGAGCCATATTTTATTAGTTGGTTAAATGCTAAATTTGGTCCCTAAACAAATTTTTGCACTTTTTTGATCCCTCAACTATACGAAATGTACTTCGTTAGTCCTTTGGTCAATTTGTGCCGTTAACTCTACCATGTGGCATTCTTTATATATTTTTTTGATGATGTGGATAGTCCAACTGGAAAAAATGATGACATGGATCGTCCAACTAAAAAAAATGATGACATGGAGATAAATTTTTATATTTTTAATAAAAAAATAAAAAAAACCTCTCCCCTGTTTTCTTCCCTCTCTTTCTTTCTCTTTCTTCTTCCTCCTCCTGCTACCTCCTCTGCTGATCGAACCCTACCAAGCTAAGATCATCCCCCCTTTTTCTCTTCTTCCCCCTCTTGCTTTCACTTTCTTCCTCCTCTTGTTGCGACATGCCAAACCTTCTTCACCCTCTTTCTTTCTTCCGCCTCCGGCTACTGGATTCCCAGAACGCTGGGTTCATTTGAACCCAGAACGCTGGGTTCGTTGAACCCAGAATGCTGGATTCGTTGAACCTAGAACGCTGGATTCGTTGAACCCAAATCCGGGTTCTGCGAAACTCAACTATTTGGGTTCGTTTAACCCAGATCGCTGGGTTCCACAGAACCCGGTTCTAGGTTAAGCAACAAACTCGGATCTGGGTTCCATGGAACCCAGCAACATGAGTTCAAGAAACCTGAATTTTTGGGTTTTCAAACCCATGTTTATAGATTTTTTTTGTTTAGTAACTCTAGCAATTTCTATGCATATATTAAACCCTTTTGTTTGATGGATTTTTGTTTCAAATATTGTGGTTGTGGGATGGTAATTTAGTATTATGAATGCTGTAAAATTTTGTTTGTATGTTTTGATTTGGCTATTTCTCTTGTGAGTATATGATCATTAAGCTGGATTGAAGTAATATGCATTTTTAAGGTTTTGATTTTGTTTTGAGAAAGCAAGAGTGGAAGAAGAGAAAGAGGGGGGAGAAGGTTTGGTGGATCCTAGCTTTGCTGGGTTTAGTCAGCAGAGGAGGCAGCAATAGGAGGAGGAAGAAAGAGAAAGAGAGAGGAGGAAAAAGACAGGTCGAAGAGGTTTCTTGTTTTTTTATTAAAAATATAAAAATTTATCTCCATGTCATCTTTTTTTTAGTTGGACGATCCATGTCATCATTGTTTTCTAGTTGGACTATCCATATCATCAAAAGAAATATAAAAAATGCCACATGGCGGAGTTAATGGCTCAAATTGACGGAAGGACTAACGGAGTGTATTTCATATAGTTGAGAGATAAAAAAAGTGCAAAAATTTGTTGAGGAACCAAAAATGTGTATTTCATAAAGTTGAGGGACCAAATTTAGCATTTAACCTTATTATTTTGGTTTTGCTTGTGGGTGTCTTGTGACTTTTTGTCATCATGTTCTTTTCATCTTGTCGTGGCTATCTGTATTCCATAATTGTTTACAGAAGCCATAAATAATTTAATTTAAAATATGTTCTTTCGCGTTACGCCAGATACATGTTTTTGAGTAATATTCCTTTTGTTTAATTTTAATAATTTAGGTTTTGTTTTTATAGTAAAATAAAAATATAATAATTAATTAATAAAGTTATTTATTTATTTTTAATTAATTGCTATACTTAAATGGGAAGACTTAGAATATGTTATAATTATTTTTAAAAAATAAAAATAAAAATATTAAAAAGAAGTTAAAATAAAAAAATTTTATATGATATGATGGATAATTAAAATTAAGAAATAATTACAAATTAAAATAAAAAAATATTTATTTTTTTAGTATAAAAAAATAAATATTATTTTAAAATAAATTTTAAATTAAAAAATTTTATTATTCTATAGCAAGAAGAGAACAAAACATGCACCGGCCCTTGAGGCCTAGTGGCATTAACTATCGGTGTATTTTTTCCCCGGACAAGATTCAAAACCCGTCCCTTACAAAATATGTTAAAAAAAAACAAAAAAAGAAGAGAACAAAACATGAGATATTAGATATCCATTGTAATAGTCATCTGTCGTGCCTGTTTATTTTAATTTAGTGCTCTCATACATGTAATTTGTTCTACAAGTCTACAACTTAAAAAATATTATGTTATTCTTTTAATTTTCTCTTCTAGCCCTCTCAAGCTTTAATTAATTTTTCTAACAAAAACAATATTTTAGGTTACCAAACAAGAGTCCAATAGAGTACATGGGACATTAGAAATGCATTACAGAGAGTCATCTGTCCTATGCGTTTAATTATAATTTTTTTATTTACAAAATTATTATTAAAAGTACAAGTGGTACTCTCTCTTATTACAAACTTATAACTACAATTTAAACGCAAGAAGCATATAATTCCACCTGTGTGTTTACATTTATATTTGAGATTTTAAAAAAAAAAGTTAAAAATTTAGGAATCATTTGGTTGAGAGGGTTTTTTTTTTCCCTGATATTATTTATAAGCAACATTTATTTTAAAACTTGTTGAAAGAGAAATATTACATTTTAATTTATTAAAATACTTTTTTTTGCTCAAAAATCATCAAATAGTTTTACACGTGCGGAATCTGGATGTAAGTATATTGCTTTTTTTTTTGGAAAGCAAGAAAAAGGATTCTCCCAATGGTTCTCTCCTTTCATGCAGTCGACCTCCGTCAAAATGGTTGGAAAAATATTGGTTTAAAATTAAGTTCGTGCCCTTCAGACGATTTGCAAGAGGAAGGGATACCTTCCTACAGAATGAATTGTTAATCTACTTTGGATAATCTTAAAAACTTTATCAATATCGTGAATTTAAAATTAATAGATCCTAAATGAACTCAGTGAAATGCAAATTAAAATAGACTCACAATAAACAATTGCATCTTAATTAAATCTACCATACTCAAAACCAGATTAACTTATGTTTATAAACAGATTCACAAATTAACCTATCCTAGATCTTGGAAATTTAAAAACTAATTAATTGAAAAGCATGTACAAATAAAAATTAAACTAATATGAAAAACAGAACACGATAGAAGCATGAATGCCATTAACATCAAAATAAATAATAATCAGAAAAAAAAATTATACCTAGCAAAAATTAGAATACTTGTGCATTACATTAAACGCAACTATAGAAGCGGAAACTAATCAATTGACGATCTAAATTTTACAAAGTATTATGCTGGAAAAAGAATTTTAAAGCTACCTATGAGCGGGTGGATGAGTTGGTTGGAACTTTTCCAGTTTAACCAGAGATCTTGAGTTCAAACGCTGAGAATGCAGCTCCGTTAAAACTCATGAGGGAGAGTTTTACCACTCATTGGGTCCTGCCCGGTTCGAATCCGAATTAGTCAGTGGACCAATAGACTTCTGGATATCGGATGGTCATATTAAAAAAAAAAAAAAAAGGAATTTGAAAGCTAAAGAAACGATATGTAAATATAGAAACTTGTTTTGGGTTCTATGAAGAGTTGGCTGTGTCTCCTCAAAAAATTCAAAAAGTTTTTATTTATATCCTTTCTTCTTATTATCTGTCTATTGTCTGATCATATCATAATAATTTCCTTTCAAATTCTAAAGATTTTTGTTCTTTTTAAAATTAAGTTACAATCAATGAATAACATTTATTTTCCCAATCAACTTTATAAATATGCATCTCTTTAATGAATTTAACTTCACTTTATCCCTTGACACGTGATATTAAAAAAAAATATAATTTACAGTATAAACACACTTATAAAAAATTCTTTTATAAATTGATAAAAGCAAAAATATTTATAAACTACACAAAAAATATTAAGAAAGTAGCCTTAATTAGATGCGTAATTTATGCAGGAGGTTCATCCCTATGTCGGTGAAAAGATGAGGCCCCAACTACATTCTCTTCTTCTCTATCGTCAAACGCAGCAGACAACCGCTAATAATTAATTCCTCATTAATTGTATGAATAATGATAAATAAAAATAATATTAAAATTAAATATTAAAATCTAGAACGTCAAATAAATTGTATTATTTAAAATATTTAAAATATTAAAAAGTCATGTCATTTATATTATTTAATAATTAATTTTTTTATTTTTTAAATTTATAATATTATATATATTAATTAATTTAATAATATAATTTTTACCACATCATTAATCTTAAATTTTCATTTCAAATTTTCATACTCTCAATCATTAATTCATTACTCTACCTGTATTCTACTTCATTTCGGAAATATTCTCTCATATTATGAAAAGCTCTGTGAAAACCGAAAATTTTAAGATTATTTATAAAATTATTTAAATATTTTTAATATTTTAATTTATTAAATACAATTCAAAAAAATTTCTAACATTAAAGAATTAATTTTTCGCAACCCCATAAAACATCCAAAATCCATCATAATAAACACTATATTTCCAACTTTGATAAGATAATACAATAATTAAAATATTGATATATCAAATTGAAAACTTCGAATTTAAGTTTTAAATTGGATAAAAAAAATTAAAAGATGTTAAAAAAAAAAAACGCTATATTTCCACTCTTAATTACTTGTCACGTCAACATCATCCAACGCACATTTTTCTCAGAAAAGAAAATGGAAAGAATATACTTCGTCA